GACACGAGTGTGTTGGAGTGCGAGAAACAATTTACTGTAAAGATTATCGGCTTTCACAAAATAACAAAAAAATTATCGCCATTTCCCGTAAAGATTCCTTCATGCCAAACCTATTTTCAATTCATCCAATAATTGTTAATTAACAAAAATTACTATGAATTATTACCTAATCCCCTTTGCTTCCAGAAATTGTGTTCTGGATTTAGCCTTTCCCCGGTTCTTGCTGGTTCTGATTTACACCTGGTGAGTAGTAAAGGATGCACTGCACCTGAAATTGCCTTCAAATCTTGTAAATTATTCACTGAATTTCCCAATTCATCGCTCTCATGGCCGTTTCTCGATTCCTCCCCCACATTTTTGCAACTGGGATTTTTCAATTCTTGGAAATTATGCTTTGATTTTGCTTCACTCTTAGTATCCTCCACCGCCTTCTCTGCTTCAGCTGCCTCAGCCAGTGGCGACCCCCAAAACCGACCAGCCAATGATGAAGCCCTATAAGGGGCGGATCTGCACCGGATCAATAGTAAAGCATTTTTGGGCGGTGAAGAAGCTTCAAGAAAATCCTCTTTATTTTCTTGAACTCGAGCTCCAAGATTTTCACTCTCAATAGAGTTTCTACTACTTCCAACATGGCTTTGATTCATTTGGGTTTTCTGATTCAAATCGACCCTGAAAGAATCCTCTTTTGTGTCAGCTTTCTTGCAGTATCCGGTACAAAAAAACAAGCCCCATTTGCGAAAAAACCACCTAAAGACTTCAGGGCGAGGTTTATGGAGTCTTGAAGAAATTCTGTGCCAATAGAAAGTTTTCTTGAGCCACCAGCAGGGGCGTTTTCTGGTGGTGGCGTGGCCCTTTTTTGGGGTGGTTTTGGGCTTCGATTTGGAGGACCTCCGTACCCGGACTTGGCCAATACAAGTGACTTTAGGAGATGATGGTTCTTGAGTAGTTTCTGTTCCATTTTTTTTGCTGCGCAAGTAAAACATTGGGGTTGTACGTAGCCTGCCTCTGCTTCTGCTCCCAACATTGCTCCTCAGGAATCTCATCATCAATGGCGGTGGAAACTTCTCTCCCTTGATTGGACTTGATATTGGCTTTGATAAAGCCTTCATCTTCTCTCTACTGTGTATCTATAGCTAAGTTTTGTTGGGTCTCTCTCTCTTTACTTTTCAGTATTTGGTTTCTCTATCCATATTGGCCCTGAACTTCAGAAACTCAGAGCAGGAGAGATTGGGAGTGAAGGGAGGCTGCAGGCTTTCTCACGAGCCACGTTCATCATTTATTACTGTTTTTATTTAATTGCGGAATCAGAGGGTGGACAGACACGTACTATATAGGTTCGAAGATTGTTTATTTGATGGGATCTTGGAGATGTCAGTTTAGTTTTTACACAAGTGTGCAGGTAAATTTGCAGAAGTGCAGTGAACATTTAGCAGTGACTACCGTTGAAATCATGTGAATGCTAGACAGTTAGCTTTTCGCTTGGACCATATGCAGGGGAGATGGCTTTTAATGCTGGTCCAGTTTTTGTTGTAAGCCCCGTTAAAAAAATTTATTAAAATTGAAATTGAAATCAATAATTAAATTTAACCCCATATTTTATAAATTCACAATTTTTCAATAACACATTTCATCAATTTTTACAGAAATCTGCTAAAATCTTGATTTTAATCTCTATTTAAAAAAAAAAGGGCTAAATTTGGCAGCTAACTCGAGAGGGGAATGGTTGTAGGCTAGTTTTTTCAATTGAGTCACTCAACTTTGTATGTTTGGACGGATCATGTGAAATTATTTTCAAACTTTCGTTTTGAAAAATCCCTAGAAAAGCCGAGAGTTTTTAAGCCCATGTATGAAAACCATTGTATTCGGAAAACAATGTTTTGAATAGTAATTTTTAGGAGAGTATGTGGTTAAAAAATAGGAAAAAAATTTGGGTTTATACATAAAATATTTTATTGTATGAATGTGCGATTGAATCATGAGTATGCAGAAAAAAGAGTTTGAAAATAATTATTGTCAAAAAGGGGCTAAGCTTATTCGGCCAACTAAAGGTTTGAAATTAATTCTTACTTTAGTTTAATTGAAATTGATCTCATGTCCGCAGTGAACATAATAAAAACTTTCAATTGTTGAAAGCTATAAGTAAGATTCTCTTGTTACGTCAACAATGAAAATTTGTTATCCTATCCATAGTGGTGGGCAGGAGATTCGAGATCAAGCCTATTAGTTTAATAGTCGAACTCTTGAGTCGTACGGATAATTTAGCCCATGTTTGCATGTTCATTTTTTCTTAAATTCATTTTTAATCACATATTTTTTTAATAAAATAATTTAACACGTAAACTCAAAAATTCTCTACTTTTTAACTACACATTTTCAAAAAAATAACTATTACAAAATATATTCTTCCAAAAGATGAAGCTCAAACACACCCTTAATACGAATCGATAGTTTTATTAAAAAATATATATAATCTGAGTTGGTTCAACAAAAAATTAGATTTAATTGTAAGTCAAAATCAACAATTAATCTATGAGTTCGACAACATTTTAACCATACATGACATTAATTTTTATCAAACAAGTAATATAATTCTCTTTTATAGAATGGATTATCTAGTAATGAAGCTATTAACAATCTCTTTGATAGGATTTTTAAAAAGTCAAAAGTTACTTATGAAATTAAAATGTTACTTTTGAAGATATTTTATTAATTTTCTTAAAAGAATTTCGTTGGTCTGAAAGAACTTTTAGAATAAGCTGATTTAACAAGATTTTTAAAAAGTTAAAAGTTATTTTTGAAAATGAGAAAATCTTTTTCAACTTATTTAAATAATTTTTTTGAAATATATACCCTATTGAGCCCATGTTTGTCTTCCATTGTTTCAAAATTCTTTTTTCTTACATATTCATTTTTAATCACGTGTTCACACAATAAAATATTTTACACATAAATCCAAAAAATTTTCATACATTTTTCAAAAATCACTATTAAAAATAATATTTATTTAAAAAAATGACGACCAAACATGAGCTGAAAGAGTTTTTAAAAGAAAATATCATAAGATAGAGAAGAAGCATAAATATTGTCAAACGACCCTAAAAATAAGGAAATGGAAAAATAGTTTACTTTAATTATACACGTGTCGTTCAACTTGTATATGTGCCACGTTGCACAGCCATTCAGCATCCAACATGAAAACAAAAAGTCAACTAATGTTTCAGAAATCTTTTCTGGCAGAAAAAAAAAAATAGGGCAGGCAAAGCCAGTAAGTCAATCACGATTCACGAATCTTATCAAGAATTTTAGAATCACGCTCCAATCTAATTTCACAATTTTTATTGATAATTCACATTTAGAGCGTGTTCGATAGAGATTAAAATCGAATTAAAATTGAAAAATTAGTCGTTATTGTTGAATTTTATTAGACATGTGAAACATAATAACAACTATATTTTCAATTTTAATTGGATTTTAAACTATACCGAACATGCCCTAATAATATTATATTCATTCATTTCAAAAATTATTTCGTAAATAAATGAATTGTCAACCATTGCAATCAAGTATGATTCTACAAATAGCATGATTGGGATTTTTAAACCTTAAACCCTAAAGAGTGCAACTTCTTCCCACAATTATTTTAACAATTTTTAATTCTCGTACTTATTTTCAATCATATATTTACACAATAAAATATTTTACACGTAAATTTAAAAAAATTCTTACTTTTTAATCACACATTTTCTAAAAAATCACTATTCAAAACTTCATTTTCTTAAAATAATGACCATCAAGCAAGGACTAACCGTACGATTCCCATTGCTCTTTTCAATCCAATTATCAATTTTCTTGTTCCTAGAATTTCATGTGAAATTACGATTACAATTATGTCCCTATTTGTCTACCATTAAATTGGAAAATGAGTCTGTGTAAGTGAATTCTTAAAAAAATGTGTGATTAAAAAATAGGAAAAAAATTTGAGTTCACGTAAAAAAATATTTATTGTGCAAATGAATATTAAGGACGTACTTGTTATACGTCACCAATTACATAATATTTTACAGATTAACAATGTATCAAAAAGAAAGTGAGAAAGTTTTTTTTTTATTTGATTGATGAGATTTTGACCCAATCAAATCTTGACACATCATCTGTTGATAAATAAATTTGTAAATTGTGAGGTATATGTATTACAATTGTAAGCTTTTTATGCTGAATAGATATTGATGAAAAAAATTCTACATAAATTCTATTTTTTATTATAAAAAATAATAATAATTGACCATGGCTAGCCTGGGCTATAGCAAGGTTTAAGTCTCGACTTTCATTACACCTACATAGCAGCAATTCATATAATGAACTAAAGTTGTTATCAGCAGTTACAATAGATTATGCTAGTTTCGGACCACTCCTCTCCTTTGTAATGTAGAAGAACGAGAATGCAACAAAATGAAATTTAGTCGAGGCAATAGTTGAACTATTTTTTTTTTTTTAAGATGATAATGCTTCGCATATGTGCTAACGATCTTCTGATACTCGTTATCCCATATACAATAATCATGTCACACAATAAGAGCACTTCAAATTACGTTGATCGGTAGTGACAAATTTTCAAACCAGATCACTTAAAGTGGTTTGGAATTTTTTTTTTTAACCAAATAAAACCACTACAATTTTTAAACCAAGCCAATTCAAACAACTTTTTCGGTTTGGTTCAATTATATATATATATGAGTTAAATCTTCAAAATAACTATTCAAAATAAATGTGTGAGTTTGAATTAAAATTTAGATTTAATTGTCTGCTCAATTGTAATGTCGATCGATGAATATGATTCAATGACTGTTGTTCAATACTTCACCCAATTTGATGGTTTGACATTTACACACATGTATTCAGATATGATTTAATTAATTAATTGTAATGAATAATTGTCTATTTAGATATTGAATTTAATTATATTATGTTTAATATGAATGTGTCTTTTTAATTGGGATGTGCGTATTTTTAACTGAATTAGATTATATTTAAATTTATTTATTTTTAGATTGTTTGGGTAATTAACATGTAAAGTTCTTAACTTTCATTACTACATGCTTTTCATTTTTTGACATTTTCACATGTATTACACTTTTCACTTCACAAAAAGTTTCTTTTCCTCCACTTTCATCAAACTTCTCCAGGATATTTTCATCTTATAACATTTTTTTTCTCCCTTCTTCCTGTCTGAACCGGTTTTCTCCTCTGCTTTTTTCCTCTGAAAAATAACATTTAAGGTGTGTTTGAGCCACATTATTTTGGAAAAATATATTCTGGAATAGTAGATTGATGGAGAATGTGTGGTTGAAAAGGAAGGATGTGATGGAAAATAATATTTTATTGAAAAATGTGTGGTTGAAAATGAGTAGAAGAATGAGAATGAAAATTTTAATGTGTACCAAACATAGGCTTAGTTTCTTATGTTGCTTGGCAGCGTGAGTGATTGAGTTTGATGATAGGAAGAAAATGAGTTTGAGTGATTGAGATGATAGGAAGAAAACGATTTTAGGGGCAATGAGGACTTGTTCTTGGACGAAAGTGAGGCAGCCGAAGATGGATTGCTCTCACTTGTTGGTGGGGAGCAGCCGAACTGATTCTTTCGATTTGATGGGGAAATGAATTGCTTCTTTTAGTTTGGATGTATTGTTGAATTGAGTTCAAGATTCATTTTTTACTTCCCTTTGATTTACATGTATTCTGCGGATTGTAATTTAACGATTTATTTTTTATACAAATTTTAAAGATATTTGGTTGCTCATAATTGGGCTAGGGGAGCTGAGATCCTCATTTTTTTGAGATTTATGCATCTAAGTGTCGTTTCTGAGAAATGGGAGCAGCTAGCTACATAGGTAGAAGATCAACAGGAATCAGTGAACCAGTATTCTCTTCTTAATTCTTTATCAATCTATCTATGATTTGATGATGTTTGCTTTTGTCAACTGGTATTCTTACAGCTTCATTTTGTAGTAGAGAATGGGTTCAGATGGGAAGAAAGAGAAAAAAATATATTATAAGACGAAAATACCCTTGAGAAGTTTGATGAAAATGGAGGAAAATGACATTTTGCACA